TGTTGGCTTGCAACTGTACCGTGAAGGAAAGTTGTATTCAAGGTGTTATTATATTTCATGCACCATGAAAGCATCATGTTTACATTATCATCATTTTGAAGCATATGTTATTATGTCGTGTAGAATCCGAGAGTGAACCGATTCTAGTTGAGCAAGTTGTGGAAGAGTCCCCGGTTGTCTCGGGATTTGATATTTGTGGTACTGATCCAGAACCCGAGATCGTCAACGAAAGCAAGCCCGGTTTATGCATTAAACCATTACCTTGTTTATTTTGAAAAGTTTATCACCTATGTTACTTATTGCATTAAGTTGATTAATTCAAATGTTACCTACTTGATGCATTGCCTACCTTGTTAATTGTTTACCATCCTTGAAGATGATTTCATTTACAAAGGCGTAGAATTGCTTAGTATGCTTTATGGTAGGCTTTCAAAGTAAAAGTTTCGATACAATCAAAGATGACATACTCGCCAAAGAAAGAAAGAAGATAGAATGAACTAGAGACTAGTCGGGTGACTTATCTTGAATGTTGGGTAATGTTGCTGACTATGTCGCTTAAATGCCACTCATTGTGGATCTTCTGAATGAGACACTTTGTAGTACTGGTCACATACTCCGGTAAGCCTACTTCGGCTAATCTGATACTAAGACGAATGCCCACGCACTAGGAGTGGAGAGATGGCGGGAGTAGCATGTACCCTCGTGGCTGGAATGTGGCCGGATTTGAGGTGTGCTGTGCTCTCGGGTGGCGTGGAGATGGCTAGTATGGGAGGATCCGGTAGCGAGGTTGATATATGCAAGATAAAGTTCTACATATGTCATGTGATAAGGAATCCCCAGCTGAGACTTGAATCAATTCGAATTGCCGGTGCTCCGCGGATATAGAGACTCGATTCATTACAGAAGCAATGTAGGACTGGTGAATTACTAAAACATGAGAAAAAGAATGAAATGAGAAGGATTGGAACATGGGATATGAACACTTAGTTTGAGATAATGAACTAAGAAGATTTAGGGGTAAAACTTGAAAATATGATTAAGAATGGTAAGCTTTTGGCAGAGAACTTTTGAATCTTACTACATCCTTACCTTGACCCAACACCTGCATCCCTAAGACCTTTGCCCCTTTTACGTCGGGTCAGTCTTGTTGAGTACTTTTGTACTCAGGGTTTGTTAACCCTTGTTGCAGGTGAGTCGCATGCGCAGGCTTGTTTTGGTCCCTGCTGCATGTCAGTGTTTGAAGTCGATGACAATGAGGAATGATGAATGGCTTTTGGACAAGGCACTAGTTTGTGTGAAATAAATAATGTTAATGTAATATTATCCCGCTACTATGGTTGTATGACACTTATGGTTTTGTAAGTTTGAAACAACTAGTTTGTAATACTAAAACTTAAGTCTTTCGCTTTATGATCTCTGATATGTATATTGAAAACTGTTGTAATCTGCAATGTCTGTGATTGGGATCCTATTTGGAAAAAATTCATGGATTATTCGGGTTTCCTGAGGACACCCGACAGATCTGTTAAGTTGTTGGTAACTCATGTACGCTATCAGAGGTCTGTTGAGACATCGATAGGTGCACGTGGGCCTGATTTCTTAGGAGGTTCTGCCACATCCCCCTTCTTCACCCGGCCGGATCCGGCCCTCCCTCTCCTGGATCTGGCCGGTGGCTGTGGTGGTGGTGGTGGTGGCCGGCGGCGGGGCGTGGTGGTGGCGGCGGCCCTCCCCTCCCCCTTCTTCTCCCCCGCCGGCGCCCCTCCCCTCCCCCTTCTTCTTCCCCGGTCGGAGTTCAGCTGCCTTGGTTTCTCAGTTCAGCTGTAATGCAGCGTGTGTGGTTCCTCTGACTGGTTGACAGATAGCTGCTATTGAGTAACAAATTTGTGCTATTCTAGAATTCCGAATGCATGTAGTGTTCTATCCATTTGCTTCTACTTCATATATGACTCTAGACAAAGGAAATTAGTAGCCATGGTTGATTCTATCTATTTTACCTTGCATCCATTATAGACACAATCTCACTTTTTGTCAACTTAGTTACAGCTGTTCTGTATTCTTACTAATAACTGGCTTGTACCAGTACAAGCAACCAGTTTTGTGGCCAGTTCAATTCCCATTAGAGAGAGAGAATTAAATTAAGTTCTAGGTGAAATTAAGTTGTAGTTGTCATGCTGATAATGGGTAAATCTGAGCCATTTCTCGAGTTCTTTTGCTCTTGTTCTTTTGCTCCAGGTGAAATATATGTAGTTCTTGTGCTTTTGACATACTGCTCTCTAATGGATCTGGAATGACCAATAGTTTCTTTTCTATTAGCTCAGTTCAATAGAGCTCTGTGATTTTTGCATTGCTATTTGTAGAAGAACATGACTTTTTTTAATTCAATATATTAGCTAAGCTGACACCTGAGCTTGTTTTTGTGCTCCAATTGATGCTAAGAGTTAGGACTTGAATGTTTATTCAGATTGGATCAGGTTTGGCTCCTCTTTCTTGTGTGACAATTTGACTGTCGCCACCTATACATGTGTGCATGACCAACTTTAGTGTTTGCTTGGTGTTCTATACTACTGTGCTGTTTATTTTTAGAATTTGTTGCAATACAGTAGGGTATCGGGGACTTGGGTCTGTCAGTTAACCTTGTCCATGGGATAAGTATGTACGCATATCCTATTATCCTACACTATATCATATAAGATCTTTAGTTTCTGAGCCCCGGCTACTATGTCTTTGAGAAAAATTAGATATGCTAATTTGGGCTGCAACTAAGTGCTCTTATTATGATGCATGCATCTATCTCCGAATTCACATTGCTATATGGTACCTCAGTGCTTGGTGCATGTAAAAACCGTTTTTGCTGATGCACCATGTATTGTTGTTGCAATTTCAAATTGACAATGTGCAAATGATGAAAATCTTTGCTTTTCAAACTTTGTGATGAAAATGACATCATGTAACTTGAGAGTATAGGCTGGTGATCTTGCTCAGCTATTACCATAGTTACCATTAAAATTTGCTCAGCTATTACTATATATACCTTCACTCATTGGGACATGTTTGGTTTTAAGCAGGAGCAATTGCCAAGTGAGGACAGTAGGAAGGCTGGCGGTGAGGCAACATATAGTCAATTGGATTTACACTTGCATATGTAGTGCAGTAGTTATCAGTAGTGAAATTCATGAACTGTTGAGATGAGATGATAATGCTTTTGAATGTATTGATGCCGGACCATTTGGACATCATTTATATGTAGCCCGGATGTCATTAATGAATGTGCTGAACATTTGGATCTTTATATGTATGCTATCTATTATGTTGTGATGAAATTACAGTATGGATAGTCCATATTTAATATGTTGTTGCTACTGTTCTGTTTTTATATAATTATTGTATCCAATTTGCTGTATGGTTAAGGGTTTTTTTTTTCTGTCGGTGGTCTGTTATTTTTCTGTGCGTTAACTGAGACCGACACAACATTTAAATTTAATCTGGGCTAACGCAAATTTTCTGTGTGTGTAACACCCATAGAAAAATCATTTTCATGTCGGGCTTTTCTTTTTTTCTGTGAGGATCAACGCACACAACATTTAAATTTAATCTGGGCTAACACAATTTTTCTGTGCGTGTAACACCCACAGAAAAATTATTTCTGACAGCGAACACACAGAACAATTGAATTTTTTTATCATTATATTTCTGTGGGTATTTTTCTGAGGGTACACCGTCAGAAAAATATTTTTTCGACGGTATTCGCATTTTTCTGTGTGTTTTCGCACACACAGAAAAATGCGAGATTCTAGTAGTGTTGATAAAAAAGATTGTTCCTGGTCTTATCAATTGGGATTAGTTTAAATATAAATCTAAAGAAACAGCAGGAAAAGAAATCTGGAGCTCAAAATGTAAAGAGATAACAGTGAACACTGAGTTTATTTATAAGGAGAAACAAAATTCATTGCATGGCCTACCTTGCATGGTACGTACATGCATGTGTTTAAAGTTAAGCAGTTACTACCACAACCCAAGAAATGGAAAATGTGAGTAATTCGAATAAATTGCAACCCCTCCTTTTCGAATAATTCACGTATGAATCTACTCTTGCATACATACACCCCCAGGAGTACTTAGATCCAGAGACTTGGCCCTGTGTTTACCTCTTTTCTGTCAACTAATGCAAATTAAAGCATCACCAAAAGGTGGGCCATATATATGTAGGAACTGCTACACCATGTCCAGGAGCGAGTGCTGATGAACATTCCACATAAAGCCAAGTAAAATCCAATGCATCTGATAACAGATTAAACACAAAACCCAAGTAATCAGAGAGAGAATCCAAAGAAGAAATCAAGATGGCACTTCAGTACATCTGTACATATATATCTCAACAAGGACAAGGACAGAGCACAAAATTTCAATACTGACATATGGCACCATGTATATTATATTGACATGCTAGTAAAAAGGTGGACAACTTTTGTTTGTATACTCTACAGATCGAGGGATAATTTTGTGTACTACCCGGCCCATGCAAGAGGGAGGGAGGAGATGCATGCATCTAGGGTGGCTTATGTACTGGACCAATCCCAGTGTGCGCAGCTAGCTAGTACACTAACTAGTCCCCACAGTTCACTGAACACCTAAAGTCCTAGATTAGATTAGGATAGACATCAACTTGCTCATCACTTGTCACTTGTATGTAAGCACATACTGTTCAGCATCTGTGCATATGATAGCAAATATTGCACATTGATTTCAGCTAGCCGCTCAAACTACACATATGTACCTCTTTTCTCTTTTCCCTGGTGGAAAGCAAGGCTATTTTGTACTAGGAAAGTTTTGGGATTTAGTTGAGCTAGCACTACTAAATCACAAAAACTTCTGAAAGTATGATGGATGCATGCCCCTCATTGAGAACACCAACTATATAAGGACGAGGCTTGGACATTGATGATTGATTCCTCAAGGCCCCAAGCTCTACCTTAATTATTTTGCCTCTGCGGACGCGCGCATCAGTGACGATCACTTAGCGAGCTCTCGGAGATTCTGAGGAGCTCCTCCAGGTAGTCGGCGCCGAGGTCCTCCAGCTCCACGACGAAGCGCTGCTGCTCGGCCACCGCCGCCGCGGCGTTATTGCTCTTGCTCCTGCCCGACGCCGCGCCGCCTTTTGCCGCCGCCGCCGCCAGAAGCTCGGACTTCTTGCGCCGCTTCCTCTTGGAGTGCCGCGACTTGAGCGCCAGCACGGGCGAGCCGCCCGCGGAGGCACCAGCCGCGCCGCCCAGCGCCAGCGCTCGGAGCGACTCCTGCACGCGCTCCACGGGGAAGTTGAGCGCGGCGGCGGAGCCCCGCGCGGACAGGGCCGCCTGGTCGTAGGCCATCGCGGCGGCCTCGGCGCTGTCGAAGGTGCCGAGCCACACCCGCACGCCGTTCCGCGTCGAGTCGCGGATCTCGGCCGCGAACCTCCCCCACGGCCGCCGCCGCACCCCGATGAACGCGCCGCCCTTGTTATTAGGCGCCACCAGCTGCCCCGCGCCCGCGGCAACCGCCGCCGGCACCGCCGAGACCTCGGCATCCGCGGCGGCGCGCCACGACACGGCCGCGGGCGCCTCGCCGCCGCCGCAAACCATGCTGAACGGAAGCGAGTCGGAGCCGGAGGAGGAGGAGGACGACGACGACGTCGCAGCGGTGCCGCCGCCGGCCGTGGCCATGTATTCGCTGTACAGGTAGAAGCTGTGAATGGAGAGATGATGCTCCATTTCTGAAAGAAATGGTGGCTGCTGCTGGTTGACTTTTTTCCCCGGGAAAGGCATCGATGCGAACGGCGTCTGTTCCTGCGCCGGTTTATATAGATAGGTAACGGGATGGGGTTTGACGATTTTTCTACCGACGGCCGACCACGACGGTTGGCGCGGGCCGCGGGCCCAAGTGTCAGACACTGACATGTGGGAACGCGGGGGCCTGTCGCTTTAACTGCAAAGCAAGGGCAGTTGTCGGCTACGTAGGGCAGGGCTGACGTAGGGCGGCTGGATACGACAAAACATGGTGGCGTCACCAATCAACTGTACAGTAATATCAGATGCTGCTGCCTGCCTTCCTGCAGGTGGTGGCCAGCTAGCGACGTGTCCTTGTTAATAATAAAACCAGATAGTACAGTAAGAGAGCGGTTGCCAATTTTAGCAATTGGTTTGGATCTGCTCGCGGGGCACGAGTTATTAATTACATATAACATGCATACTACATTTTAGTTGGAACTTCTTTGGTGGACAGATCTAGGAATTGTTTGTTACCTTTTATGTTTTTGATTCACAGGAATGACAGGAATGGAGCGTACAAATAGTGTAGGAAACATTTCTATCCCTGCTGTTTTGGAGGAAAAATATAGAAAACTTAGCAATCATAGGGGCTCGTTGGAAAGCAGGTCTGAAAACGTTAGAATAGGTAAAACATAGGAATTTAATGCTCTAATATCTTAAAATTTTTGTGGATTCAAAAAAAAAAATACAAGACTCTATAAGATCGAACGTAAAAATACAGGAACTAGGTGAGAGAGAGTGACACGGGAAAAACTTTGCATAAGGTTCAACTCCTTGATAGAATATCTCCAAAATTCCTATGAAACAAGTCATTCCATTGTAACACAACCAAATTCTTTGTTCTAAAAGGCTTAGAAAATTTTCCTATAGGGTTCCAATCCTCTAAAATTTCTTCATTTGTTCCAAAGCTCTTCATAAGGCCCTGTTTAATTAAAATGCATGAATCTTTTTCCTATTCGCGTGTTTTTCTTGTAAAATTGGACCTATCCCTTTGAATTTTCTGTACACTCCCTATGGTATTCCTATGCTCCAAATGGGGTCTCAAATCTCTTGATTAAATTCGTACATTTTTTCCTACGGTGTTTCCAAACAATCGTTCCTTTAGAGCTCCTATGTTTTCCAATCCTCTATTTTGTAAATGCATTCCTACATAATTCCTTAGTTTTTCATATTCTTGTATGTTTTGTATTCCTGTGTTCCAAACAGGCCTGAGTTGTAGGCCCACATAAGAAACTTCTTGAATCTACTACTCTGGACAATTACCTATAGGATAGCTGAGAGATGTGTGTTCAACTAAGGGAATGTCTATTTTTACTACTCTAGATAAATTCACTTTATCGCTTAGTGCTTTATTTGAACAAGGAGTTTCGTTTGATTCACTCTCCCAAAATATTTCAATTAGCATGTCTAATGAGATTTGTCCTTTTTTCTTTTAATTCTACACACGTATGTTGACTTTTAAGTTCAAATTTTGCGAGGTAACATAGAAGATTGTAGCTCAAGCTCATGTTATTAAAATACATTAAGAAATTCTAAAGATTATTTTCATATAGATTATTAGGAATAAATCAACCCAAGAAATATCAGATCACATAAAAGTAATGATTAAAATCTTATAAAATATTTTCTTACACCAGATATCATGTAGTTTATATCTCCTGGAAACTAAACTAAAAACTCAATATGTGCAAAGAGAAACAAAAAGATAAAATTCACTTTTTTGGTAGGGGGTGTTTGTTTAGTAGACCTATTGAAATAGTTTGAAGGAGTAAACCAAGCCGAATTTCTATCATTTACATGTTTATGTTTACTTGGGAATTGAAATTTATTCTCTGCCCCCCCCCCCCTTGCACCTTTCATAATGGTGGATTTATCCTCACTTACTATTTGATTGATTCGTACACAAACAAAGTTCTACAAAAATAGTGAAACCAAAGTACAATGACATCACTAGGGCTTTATTGGTACATTAATTGTAGAAAAATGGTTGATTAACACTAGAGAAAATTGTGAACAAGGATGACCTTGATTGGACAAAGCTCTATGTGAAAAATGAAGTTTCAGAACATCAATGAATAAATTATAAAGTTTTCATTAGTTCTTCTGTAAACTGTTTAGACACAATTGAAGTAGTTCCATAATTACAACAAAAGGAAGCTATTTATGTTATTGTTTGAATGTTTATGCTTAATTACATGTTTCTGAATTCTGATTCTATAAAGAGTTATCATTACTATTATATATACTATGCCATGAGATAGTTTATGTGTTCAGTAGATGTTCACTGCACGCATACAGCAAAATTAAATCCTCCATCGTAATCTCGTTGATACATATAAATAACCTTAATGACAGGAAACATAATAAGAAGATTACATGCACAGTGAACATCATCAGAGAGGAACCTGCATATATATATATATCATGTTCGCTTGGTCGTAAACTATCGTAAATTTTCAGCCAGAACAATATTTTTCTCTCATACCAAACCAGCCAATAGTAAATAATCCACGATCGTTTACGGCCTGCCCAACAGACTGATATTATCTACTATTTAATTAATTTGCATACCAGTACAGAGTACAGTAGTAATAATATAGAAATCCCACTAGGACTACCTAGTCACTGCGCGGGCAGTACGCAGCTTCGTCTCTGATGCACGAGTACCCTGCAGACCCCGCATTTACGCAGATAGATAACATATAAAATTAACCTGTTATATATATAAAACAAAAATAGAGAGACAGATCTCGTGGAGCGCATGCAGATCGACGACAGTACAAGAGAGCTAAGGCCCTGTTTAGAATCCACCCAAAATTCAAAAAATTTCAAGATTTCTCGTCACATCAAATTTTGCGGCACATGTATGGAGCATTAAATATAGATAAAAAGAATAACTAATTACATAGTTTATCCGTAATTGGCGAGACGAATCTTTAAAGCCTAAATAGGCCATAATTAGACAATTTTTATTAAATACAAACGAAAGTGCTACAATAGCCGAAAACAAAAAAAAATTCGCATCTAAACGGGGCCTAAGATGTAGCCCGCCGCCGGCGCCGGCCGCCGACAAGAAGGTTCCGCGATGCCTCGCTCGCCCGGCCGGGTTGCCCGCAGCCGCAGCCTGCCCCATATACTGTCTGCACTCTGCAGGCGGCGATGTGGACGGACGGCGGAGCCGCCGCCGCCTTCGGCCTCACTGGCCCCAGCTTTCTCTCGGTGACGGTTGGGCTTCTTCGTAGTATCATCTAGCAGGAGTGAAGTATTCATCTCCCTGCGCCTGCGGCGGCGGTCCAACGCCCGCGGTCACGCTCTCCTGTCTCTCGATCGCTTTCGTGGTCACAGGGAGGCGGCGCCTGAGCCTCGATCAGCCGGCGCGGACGCTCACAAGCATGCTGATTTCCAGTTCCAGTCAATAGTCATCTGAACTGAACTGATGATGCATTCCCCTTGCCGGCCTGGGCCCTGCTGGCCCTGCACCGTTAGTTTCTCCGGGGAGTTAATACCTAAGACGTACTGTACGCATATAGCGAGATCTTTTTCTCATCCATCCATCCATCTATTCGTGGCATTCACACGTCCTGGCATCCCCATCCCTTTGCGTGTCAGCGTGTGCTCGTCTGATGCTGCTTGCTTGGTCCTCGTGTATGTGGGCCCGGGCCTGACTGCCATTTGCACTCTAAATATGGGAAATTATTATATATATTCTGGGAGCAGGTGGGTTTCTTGTTTAATTTCTGCATGCATGCATTCGTCTCTTGAATAAATAAATATATTCATTTATTTATCCTCCATAGTACAATTTCACTCTGCCAGTATTTCACTAATTAAAAGTCTAGTTATTTTCAATGGCCGGCGGAAGCAAATATTACCTGGCCCTGAATAATTCAATTCCCCTGTATTTCACTAATTAAAAGTCTAGTTATTTTCAATGGCCGGCGGAAGCAAATATTATCTGTCCCTGGATAATTCAATTCATAGAGTTCTCTGAAGTCACTTTTTTAATATTTGATTGAATTTATGAAAATCACAAATATTCGTGACATAAAATGGGATACTATAAAAAATATATTTTATGATGTATTTAATGGTACTAAATTGGTGTCATTAATATTAGCTCTCTTTTTTAAAATAATTCACTCAAACTTGAAAAAAATATGTAACTTAAGACAACTCTACAAATTATTTTATTCAAGAACCAACGGCATCCGCTAGCTAGCTAGATGGATATTGTCAGCTATAATTAATATACGACATACTCTCTCTGTCCTGAAATATAGTGCATTTTAACTTCTAAAATTTGTACCGGTAATATAACGCATTCTATGTAATGACTATGCTTAGATTTGATAAAGTTGGGTAAAAAGAAAACTATAATTTAAAGAGAAACTCCTTAACTGAGTTTAATCTATGGGTACACGTGTCATTGAGTGTTTCCTTAACTTGTCATAAAATTTTTAGAACGTGCTATATTATATGACAGGAGGGAGTAACAATACATATACAACCTTTTCTTGGAGGAGTATGTGCATATGCTCTGATTGTTACAATTTAATGCAAACTTATTCTTCAATTAGAAACAACCATTGTAGGGACGCATTCTTTTTATATTATTTATAAAAAATTAAAGCAGTAATATTATGACTGTCTTCGTAGAAGTTGACACTGGATGTATTCAGGAAACTTCAACTTTTATGTATGTTGACTTTCCTTCATTCTGTGGTTGATGTTCTCCCAAGGTTTCTAAGTCAAAACAAGGAAGTCCCCTGCTTGATCATAGAATTTGGACTAGATACATAATATTTTATTATATCCTAGTTTTTGACCAACAAATTTAACATCTTTCGTTTGAATTAAGACTGGAGCTACGTACCGATCGACGACGATATATGTTGTTTCCGGGAAGTAGGTAGCGAGTGTGTGTTCTACACATCATTACATGCTTACGTGCATGATAGCTACTGCTCAAATACTATGCATATGGTCATAAATATTCT